GAACGTATTTTCATAATGCAAAAACGTATATTGAAAACAATATTCAATATGAATTACACAGACACTTGTCGTGTTGTTACCTACAAGGGTAATAATGTATATATATATATATATATATATATAAACACCTACATCGTAAAGCACGCCCCAAATGAAAACAGCTATGATCCTTACGTTCAATTCACTATGGAAGCAGAAGACACTGACCACTCCGTGCCATTTCTTGACACAAGGTTCATAAGAACTACCAACAATAATATTGTGATAGATTGGTACAGAAAACCTTGTAGTTTAGGAAGATATATCAACTACTGGTCATATCACAAATACTCGATGAAAGTGAATCTAGTGAAACAAACGAAAAATAGAGTGTTGAAAATCTCTGACATCCAATTTCACAAAAAAATCTTGATATTTTGCTTAAACTTCTTCTGTATAATTCATATCCTTTAAGTATGTTAAAAAATATTTTGTTTAATTCCTCATCCATATCAGACATTCATATAACCTTACCACCAAACCCAAATATAATTGAATACAATGGAAATAATATTGCTCCAACTCCAGTTTTTTACAGTACTTTACCCTTCATTAAGGAGATCACCCCCAAACTCTCTAGAATTTTCAATGAATTGCCTAATATTAAAATAGCCACCAAAGCAGTTCTCACGATTAGAACTTTACACACCAGAGTTAAAGATAAACCTCTCATTACTTCTCGTAATGAGATGTCAAACATCAAAAACTTTAAGTTCCAGAATAACTTCTCACAAAAGCGATTGTGGACACGATCCTGAAAGATGTGCTCTAGCTGAACATGTCAATAAGTTTGACCACCATATGAATTTTGATGCCACTAAGGTCTTAGCTAGTGAAACACATTTAACAAAAAGGTCCTTTTTTGAAATGGCCTTCATTGCTGAAAATAAAAATTGCATTAACAAAAAAACAGACATTATTCATCTTATTGAGATATATTCCTATCTTTTGACGTTAGATAAAAATCCATATAACAATGTTTCAATGAATTCACCTAATCTAGCATTAATAGAATAATGTACTTTATACTTTAATCCAAATGTTATTATCCTACATTCACTTCAAAAAAAAGCTGCACAGGTAGAAATTTCCAAAAATAATTCTTTACAAGTTAAAGCTGGTAACAGCTTTTATCACTAGAACTACTGGCATATGTCATGTCAACTATCTGTCAATCCTTCCAAATGTAATGTTTTGTGAAATTTCGACATGTGACATTATTCCTCTTTCAAAATAATTTTAAACTGTAACGTTTTTCACAAATATTTTATCTAATAGTAGACGTCCTTTAACCAGTTTTATGTATTGTATCAATGCTCATCCATCATGTTGTGTCCAATATTTTACATAACCATCGTATGAAACATCCTCAAAAAGTTGTAAGTCTAACCATTCACGGGCGCGTGTGGTAGATCGCTTAGGTTTGCCCTCTTTAATTATTTTACACGCACAGCGTTTGAACGCATCGCCACCGCGTTCGCGGCCGCTCCGGTTTGCGCGAGCCTTAAATTTGCGCGGCTAGCGGGCGCTCAGTACGTTATTTTAAAGTCAGCCCCACTTTATGTAGATAAAGCATGTGTTGATTTCAAACGTAGAAGAGAAGTGTTTGCTTGCTTTTTATAGTAGGTATGATAAGGTAATTTAAGTATTCATTTTTTTTACTTTGAAAAAATGTGCTCGGCTCCGCGGGCCACAAGGTAGTAGACGGCGGGCCGCGGGTTGGCCACCCTTGATCTAAAGGATCAATTCGTTCAGGCCACACCTATCAGAAAATAACTAACCAGTCCATTAACCTACAGTGTAGGGAGTTGAGACTGGCCTGAACGAATTGATCCTCCTTTAGATGGTTTGATTTACAGCCAATCTTCAAGTATGTCCACTGACTATATGTGAAAAGTTTTCTTTCCTTATACGAGTAATTAGGCAAATTTTGGTTATGTGGTTGTTTCCCTGCTTCACGGGGAGAAGGGGCGATGACAAAACTGTCGTTTGTTGTCCGCTTCAGCCTAGTTCAAGGAATGGTAGTCTGAAAGAATTCGATATTCAATTATCGGAAATCATCGACTTTATATTGATGGAAGACACTACCTTGCACTGACGAGTGGCCAAACAGCCCGAAACCGGTCTGCAAGTGTGTTCCAATAATTGAAAATCTATTGCAACAATTGTGTCGCCAACAGCATATACACAGTAGGGGAGCCCACGATGCAAAATGTGGATTTACTCGAGCGTCATAGAGACATATTGGGTTGCAAAGCTTAGCTGATAAAAAGAAAAATATATAATACATACCTTTTCATCGGTGGGGGAATCGGCTATAGATTTTTAAATATGTAAAAAAATACTGTTGGATGGACATACTCGAGCGCGTCAGATATTGATAACATCAATGTCCTACGTATTTTCAATAATGTTCGTATATTATTCTGATCGTTTGCATGATGCGGGTGGTGTACGCAAGTGAAAAGAAAAAAAATTCAATCGAGCGCGTCAGATTTTCTAAAGGGGTGTTAAGTGCAACAAAAAAACCTCTCATTCAATAAGCTGACGATTTCAATCTGACGCAAACTCTCGGCCATTATTATAATGTGCGAAAAAATTCACCATTTTGAAATACTCAAGCGCGTCAGTTAAGATACATATGTTCATCTTTATGTTCTAGACACGCTGTCTCATAATCTGACGATTATCTAGAGGGATTCGCCTAATCTGACAAACACATTTTTTTTCAACTTTTAAAATCATTGAACTTAATTAATTGAAATACTCAGGAAATAGCATGCAAATAAATAAGTGTATGTTTTTTAAGTAGAATACTTGTTATTATAAGAAAATAATTTTTGTAAATGCTCAAAAAATTTTTATGTTTTTATTTTTTATAATCAATTGATTAATTAATCATCATCCTCATCTTCATCACGAACGAATCTCTGTGATCAGCTGTGATGGCGTCAAGGCAACAGAATTCAGAGTGGGAACGGAGTGAGAGAGTAATAGATAGAGAAAAAGTGAATAGAGAATAGAGGAATATACACTCGGAGAGGGAAATATAGGTATCACACAGCTGCACGCATTAAACTTTATCGACGAATTTTTGTTATTTCGGCTTGCGGAAATCGTCAGATTATATATTTTTCGTTATCCTTGAAATATTTCCTTCAAAATGAAAAAAAAATTAGCTACGCTCGAGAATGTCAAATAGACGTTATTTTTTTACAACTTTGCTGCCCTCCCCTTTGTTTACGTCACTCTCAAATTGTCAGATTACTAGAATATACACTTTTTAGCATGTAATTAACTCACCACACCTCAATCTGACGCTCTCAAGAATTTCTGATCCTTTATCTTTCACGGGCGGCCTTATATATGGGGCTCATATTTGGTGGAGGAACTTGACCGGGTATAAGGTATCCCCCTGTATTTTAATCTACCGCGCTTTAGTAATTCCCGTAATCCCCGTTTGGGCTCCCCTATTAACAGGAATAACTTCAGTGAAGAATCCTGCACTGACACCTGTCGGATATAATGCAACGCCTTTCGTGTTATTAGCCAGGGACGTAGTTGTTTTCTGATAGGTGTGTAGGGAGTTGAGACTGGCCTGAACGAATTATTCCTTTCGATGATTTGATTTATAGCCAGTCTTCAAGTATGCCCACTGACTATATGTGAAAAGTTAATTATTTTTGATCTGCAAAAGACCGTTTTCTCTCTAAAATAGGGTTTACTGTTGTTCAGATTTCCGATCAATGTAAAAAGATATGCAAATGAGCTTCACCAGCGTCATACTTGGAAAAACTTAACAATAATAAGACAATAACGGTGTTGGCAACTTTCAAGTGGAAATCTCACATTAAAGTGTGTTTTTTGAATACGTTATAATGGTATATGATGGAATTGGCCGATACTGATGAAAATCTATAACTAGCGTATTGAAAAAACACTTTATTGTGAGATTTTCACTAAACAGTAGTAATAAAGACACGCCCGAAGAAGCCATTGTATGGCGAAACACGTGCTGCGTTTTTGTAAAACTGTTTAGTGGAAATCTATAGTGTTTTTTGAATACGTTTAAATGAATTTTCATCAAATATCGGTTTCTATCATATTTTCAATAATAAGACAACATTTTGTACGAGTATTAAACGCTGTCTAGAAAGTTAGCACGCAATTGGAATTATTAGTTTTTAGTGATTAGTTTTTAGTGATTAGTTTTTAGTGATTCATTATTGCACCCTTTTTAAAAATGAATTTTTAACACCTAAAGGGCAGATATTTTTAGGATATTTCAGTTTTTCCGGCAAAAGCTTATTGGATTCATACTTTTTTTATACAAAAAATATGGGAAACTTCCTAATAAAAAACGAAGGCAATAATTCCAAGAGATACTTTCAACAAGGATGTTCGTATCTGACAAGAAGATCTGTGAATGATCTACACATCCTTGTAGAGAGTACATTTTGAATTGCATTCTTCCGTTCTTCGGAAGTTTTCTTTTTTTTTCTATCAAGATGAAGAAGTAGAAAGCTAAAAAAATTATTTTTTTCTGAAATACACCTCACCTTTCAATCTAAACGAAGTTAATATGGGTAGGATTAGCATAACCGTGAGAAGGTTTTACGTTCTGTCATCATGACATGAGCAGATGTGTCTCATCCGGTGACATAAATTCATAATGTGCAATGTATGTGTTTTCGTCCTCAAAAGTTCAGTTAAGTGCTAGTAAGGTGTTGGAAACAAGTGTTTTTGATCCGAAACTTCGAGAAGTACACAAAAATTCAAAAGTAGAAAGCCAAATACCTTTTTTCCCGAATTTTAACAGCTTACACGAATTCGAATTTTATCTTTTTCGACTAATTGTCTATTTGTGCAATGAACGATACTAGGACTAATCTTTCTAATTATCATTACAAGGAAATTATATCAATTTCAGTTGGTAACTGTACAACAAACAAAAGCCATACCTTTCATCAACAAGTCATCGGGGTTAATTATCCAATCCATGAACTTCATGGTCAGATTGTACAATCCAGCCATTCCTCTGGAATTGAAGGGTTCCTTGGTGCTCAGATACACCTCATTGTCCTTGTAGTCTGTATAATTCGGCAGTTTATTATCAAGGTCCCCAAAGGCGACCTCGAGGTTCTTGGTAATTTTATCAATGCTATTCCAGAATCCTCCGTCAGATGCATTGACGGCTACGAGTAGGACCACACAAGTAAACAAAAAACACAGGGCGTTCACGGAAAGTCTTTGCTCGGGAGCGGCCGTAGAGGCCGCCTTTGATCTACGTCGACTCATGTTCAAATGAATTCAATTAGTCATCTCATCGACTGCATTGTTAAGTCAAAATCGATGCCGGATCTGGAACAAAAAATAGATTTGAATACTCAAAGACGACATAGATATATTGTCTAATGTTACAAGTTCCCAAATGTCTTCAGTATACTAAAATTCACAGTTACGCAGATGACACTCAAATCTATATGCAACTTCCTGACAGTTCACTGGTAATAGCACACCAACAAATCAACCAAGACCTGAATTCGTTATTAACCACCTCTAAAAAATACTGTCTAACAAGCAATCCTTCTAAAACTGTTGCCATGCTATTTGGGAGAACAGCAATGAGAAAAAGATGCCAAAATCAAATTTCGATTCTACTTGATCATGTTGATCTTAGTCTGTCTGAGCGCACAAAAAATCTTGGTCTCACAATAAATATATCAGTGTCACAGATTTTCACCTCATGTTTCGCTAATTCTGATGGTGAAATGATTAGCTAAAATTTTTCCGTTTCTTTATTAATCTTTCATTGTCGTTCATTGAACAAACTGAGAGAAGGTGAGAGCATAAGTTGATAATAATTAAGATTAATGTGTAGATATTGTTATGAGGATGGTTGAATGAAAGAGCAAGTTCTGATTACGTTACTCAAATGACGAGATCAGAACCTAAGTTCTACCTTTTGACAAAAATGTAGGAGATATCATTCAAAAATTGTCTGTATTAGTCATACTTTGTACTACATTTTGTCAATAAAATCGATTATTATTATTATTTTTATTTATGGAGCTGCACCATTTCTGTGGTTCATGAAAGAAAAACTGACAATACAGGAAATTGCAGTCAATAACGGTTTCTCAAGAGGTATTGTAGATGATATTATAAGGAAGAAAAAGTTTATGTTACGAATGAACGAAATCTCGACTTTTAGAAAAGACGAAAACCAAGACGAAGAATTTTAGAAAGATTTTCAAGGAACTACATCGGAAGATGGAATTGAAAACAGGTCCTACACTACATAGCCTTTTAGGAAATCCAAAGGAAAACGTCGAGAATTCGGAAAAGTCTGGATGCAAAATTTTATTGGTAGGCCAAAAGATTTATTCAGATATGATATAACACTTAGCACACCAAAAATATGGAAGATCACAAAAACTCAGCAGTCGCCTATCATATTTTGCACCAAAACCATTCCATTGACTTTAGTTTATTTAAGATTAGTTAGACAAGTTAACAACAACAGGTATCTAGAGTGTAGAAATAAGTTAACATAATAATATTATGAATAATTAAAGTGGACCAATACCTGATAGTATACTATATAGCTTGTTGAAATAATATTTTATCAGATTTACCTGTCTGTTAGATTGGGCAATATTGTAAAATTAATTTAAGACTAGTAGATAGATAGATATGTAAAATTAATTTAAGACAAGACACAGGTACCTAGCAGAGGTAGGGTCGGCACGACAGGTATGACCACTTCTAGAAAAAAATCAACTTTAGCTATTTTCCATTAAATAATTTTGGGTGTAAAAAATCTGGAAAAATTCCATGTTATCCTATGAAATATTCTCAAAATATTCCCTATAAAAAAAAGAAGTTTTTATCAAAGGGGACTATTAATTTAAATTTATTTAAATAAAGTGTGAGTTTTTGCCATTTATGGTCACTTTTTTCCAGATGTGGTCACATGTTTTTGCCATTTATGGCCACTTTTTGCCAAATGTGGTCACATGTTTTTGCCATTTATGGCCTGTCCTTTGGCCTCTCTGTGATTTTTCTCTCATCATGCCTAATTTTGTATATAGCTAACAACATTGCAGTGGAGGGTGGAATAGCATTAAAAATGAAATAATACTGCAATAATAGTTTGATTTCATTTATTCATTTTCAAAGACTTCCACTGAAGAAAGAAAAACTGTATTTAGAGATCGGCCATCCTGAACTAATGTTGGCTCAGGGAGCTTGCCTAAAATATCCTGGGTGTCAACTGACCATCATTTTCAATGTAAGTAAATGATCGTTTTTCGCTACGTACTTCAACCTCATTCTCGTTATTTATTTTTGTTATCGAAGCTACATGGATCCATACCCATTTCTGAGTCAATGTCATCTAAACTACTGCCACTTTCTTCCCATTCCTCTTCATTGTCCTCAGAACTGGAATCCTCGCATATCTTTAATTTCTTTGATTTTTTTGTTGTTTGTTCTTGCTCCTTTTCTCTCTTTTTTCGCCCCCTTTCCTCCTTTCTGTTCTGTTGCTGTTTATTTTGTCTTGTTTCTCTTTATCTTTTAGTTCGAAAAACTCTATCCACTTATCTGAAAAAACAACACTGGGAGAATTACTCCTTTTTCCTCTTGCCTGCCTTCGATGTAGATAGTTCAGAATGGGGCCATCGAACTATGTCCTCAAAAACGGTTGCAAGAGTTTTTTAGGTAATATTAGAGAACAGGAAGCTGATGAATTGCCCGAACTATTTTCTTCAGATATAACCCTTTGATTGGACTGACTTTCATTCACGGGAGTTATGTTTGTAAGGGTAGTTAGTGACTTGAATATGAGAATTCTCTTTCGTAGGGGTTACTTCGGTCACCACAGTCAACAGGAAATTGGTTTGATTTCCAGATTTCATCGGTGATAACTCTCAAGTTTTATCAAATTATTCAATTCATTCTGTTGGGTAATGGCATGCTGCTCCTTTGGGTCCCCCAACTCATCTGCAACTGATAACCAAAACTAGTAAAGCAGCAATGCTTCAGGGTTGCCTTCCCAATGCATTTTCTTTCCTCTGGTGGATTTGAATTGCCGCAGCAAACTCATCTCCATTCTGGATTCAATAAAATTTAAATGATCTTTATCTTTAGCACAGGCGTTGTCGTTGCTGTTATTATCCACAGAATCAACATTATTCGGTTCAAATGGATAGAGTCCGGACTAACTTTAAATCCAGATCGAATATTGGCAGGCATCGTAGGTTTTTTGATTATTTTTGAAAGTGCTGTTGGAACATCAAATTTGGAAATTTCTACTCCATTATGATCAACACGCCATTGACGAACAATTTTTTTCCAATGCTTTTTGAGAGGACCAAATACGGCCACATCAAGGGGTTGCATAATGTGTGTGCTGTTAGGGTATAAGGCAATCAGAATAATTTGGTTCTCACGACAAAAACGGCTCAGAGGTAGGGTAAGATGTGACTTATGGCCATCCAGAAATACAACAAGTGTTCGCTGAATTTTATGTTTATGTAAAAACTTATCCAAATATATTGGCAAAATACTCAAAAAAACGCTTGTGATGTCATCCAACCATTTTCTGTTTTACCTATACTCCAATCAATTGGAGCCTTTTCTATAGCTTTTTTATTCAAACGTTCATATTTGAAAAGGGTAGTTGGAGTAGAAAATTGTCCAGCAGCATTACACGAAAATATGGTAGTAATGTTTTCCTTATCAGATCTTGAGGATTCATTATAGACATGTTGACCTTCAGGTCCGATTTATCAGTTCACCCTTTGGAGCGAAGCAGAAGCACGTTTCGTCCATGTTGAACGCTCTCTCTGGGTGGTTGAGAACATCAGCATCAGGTCCAAGAGTTCCTTTCACCTCAGAAAAATTGATTTTGAAGATTCAAAAAATCGACCTACAGAAATTAAATGAAACATTTATACATTCCTTCTCAAATAAAGAGAACTTGCAAGAGATTGATTCAAAATTAGATATGACGAAATTGTTTAAAGTACATAATCAACACAATAAAAGCGCAAGTGATAAGTTGATAACATACTATGGGTAATACTTTGCAGTTGTAAAAGTTAATGAAGGTATATTAAAAAAGATAAAAATAATATTTCGCACATCCGTTATAAATGAATAAACACGATGGAAGGTAGAAGTATTATTCATATATTCCAACATTCGACTAGAAAAAATCTGTATTTTTTTTTCACAAACACTGCGGAAATTAAATTTGTCCAGTTTGTTTTTTGAGTACTCCAAAACTTTCCTTCTGTAGAGTTCAGCGGTAGGCAACCTCAAATAGAACCGTTTTCAAAAATTTGAAACCCTTTTATATTCTATTTCATAGAAAACAAAAAAAATAATTAAAAAGTGTAGAATTGAACCTAATCGTAATAGCACTAGTTCATAAACACCTACATCGTAAAGCACGCCCCAAATGAAATCTTCTAAGAATAATAATACGGTTCGATGATGATTAAGTTGAAGTTTTTTTGATATTGTTAGTTTAGCGGATCTATAAAATTTTCTGCATTCCTATGAGCTGATGATGGTACTGAAAGGGTAAACGTTGACAATATAACAGAAGACAAGATAAAGTGAGAAATAAATTAGTACACGTGTCGAACCTGGAGTGACAATAGAAGTGGGAGCCCATTGAGAAAAAAATTAAAAGCGACAAATAAAAAGGCAACAAAAATGAGGATCCCAATTCTTTATCAGTCAGGGGTAACTCTGATCTTCCTCAACAATTTTTGAATTCAAAAACTTCCTACAAGCAATTCAAATATTTTTTCAGATGAACCAACAACAGTTTCTACACAAGACTTGGAAACATGTTTGTGAATTTGTTTACATATATCTGTGCTACTAGTTCAGAAACCGCTTTATGTACTTGGCGTTATAACGGCTCAATTGCTCATATTGCACCAAAAAATGTACGGCTTGATGAAAACTCGTACTGAATAAAATACGACACAAGAAAGAAGTTGCCATATTGTAAATGATACACTGATGCCAACTGAAGGACTTAATTTATGGATAAAATGATTCAGTTTCGGATCACATTCAAAGCAACACGAAACTTTTAATAACACTAAAATACAAATAATGAAATTATAAAACAACAACAAAAATTTATTGGCGCTTCGGGGCGACTTCATTGATTCCAGTGGCGCATTTGCTTTTTCAGCTGCAGGAAAACCCGGAAAAACCCGCAGTACCACATCATCTGAAGATCTTGATCTGCCAATGTCCTCTCTCTCATAAAACAAAATATAGGGAGGGTGTCTCCAGAGGCTTTAATGAATTCAATACATCATCAGAACACTTAGTGACACGACTATCGTCAAACTTAAAACCAATCCGTTTCGTCTTTGGCCAGGGCGTAATAATGACCAGATTCAACGCCAGAACCACAGTGAACAATGACTACATAAAAATTATAATAGTGGTCTACTAGATTGAAGTGATCATCTATTTCGAACCTACGTAAGAGTTTGGTGCTTCCGTCAGAGGTTGAGTCATGTTTGAAGATCATCAGTGTTATTATTAGATTTACTAGTGCCTCAGCTATACTTGTTTTCTTATAACAGTCAGTTAGTTTGGCGCATGTTTGGCAATACAGTCGAACATCACCTGTTAAAAATTTCATCTTCAGATGATTTAACAATAACCTTTGCACGGACTGATTATTTATTAGTCATATTGGGAAACGCTAGTTGAAGTTCCAGAAATTCGCATACGTTTCTGCTACCTCTTGAATATTTACTACAATTTAAACACGTGAGGATTTTTCCAGCAAAAGATTTACTAACACAAAACGAGATAGACTGTACGGAATTATTCAATCCAGAGCGGTTAGGAGTATTGATTCTGATATTATTTTGCTCACGAAGAGTATTCAACAAGAGCCCTAAGAATTCGGAACAATCCTCTTATTGTCCCAACGAGTATCTAGTGTACTTCAAAGACTCCAGGAAATCGATTGGATTCAAAATAATTTTGGTTTACACCAGGGGTCTCCAAACTACGGCCCGCGGGCCAAAGACAAAACTTCTTCTATTTTGCTTTCCAAACTTGCAACCTTCACAAAAGAAATCAGATTCATCTTCAAGACTTGCCCCTTCAACTGCACCACTATATATTGTGTCTCGCACATACATTAGATTGACGTGCCCCATTTTTTCATGCCAAAGTTTGAGACTATTACCTGTTAAAACATTGCATTCAATTTTATCGAATTTTATGAGCATTTCGAACATATTACCTCTTCTCAAACCCACACAGAATAGTTCACCAGCAGCATTGCAAAATTCACATCTGTCTCTTTGAGCAGTCATAACGAAATCTTTGTCAGTTATTTTTCCGACAGATAACAAATTTCTCCTCAGTTTTGGTATGAATAGGACGTCTACGATTACCTTGTCCTTCCAAATACCATTAATATTTGCTTTCACGTTAATATCACCAACAGCTGTCACTTTAATGAGTTTAATGTCTGCAATTCGAACAGAAATTTCATCTGAAACTGTTTTCAGGTTGTGAAACCATTCTTTTCTAAATGACATATGTGCACTTGCGCCAGTATCAGCCAACCATATGTCTTCTTCATTTTCTTCTTTCTCAACCCAATCTTCTATATCAGTTGGTAGATCACAAATGAGAACTTCTTTGGAATGTTCACTGATTGATTCATTTTTGGAATGGTATTTATCAAATTCCTTTTTTTTTTCCGGCTCGGACACTCCACCAATGACCTAACTGCTTGCAACATCCGCATTTTTCGTTTTCTAGTGGAATTTTTCGGATTGTGACGTATTTTCATGGATTGAATTTGGAGAGCCAGACTGTCATCCTTGTTATCTGAAACAGATAACTTGTGCTCCTCTCTCAGAAGTCTAGCTATAATATCTGAGAGAGTTTGTTTACTGGAATCAACTGAATCCCATGCAGTCACTAGCATTGCAAATTTGGGTGGAAAGCTATTGATGATTTTTGAAATAACAGCAACATCTGATATATCTTCACCCATATCTTTCAACTGCTTTACTATGGATTCAACTTCGGCAATGAAATATGAAATCTAATTCAACAGGTATCTTATAGCTTGAAATTTTTTAAATGTTAAGTACTAATACGGCTGAAAAAGCTAATAATTTGTGTCCCTACACTTCACCTAAAAAATATCATATTGATGGAAAAAATGTAATTATGACCATGCACAAAAATCAAATTCAAGTAAATCTTTCATTGTCCGTTGATGATATCGTGAGAAAAATAGGAAATATTGCTTCATGTGTCTATATGTAGTTATAAGAGAATATAAACAAAAGCATTCTTTTTCGGCTACAAAACCATATCCCCCACGAAAAGAAATTGTTGATGAGGTAGACGATTTTGATGCTTTTTAAAGGGAAGTACATCATTTTTTCGAAACAAAATGCCTAGTGCTTCGCTTTATAGGAAAGATAACTGAATTTTTCAATCTTCGATAGATTCAGAACGGAGATTGCACAAATAGCCCCCAAAGTTTTCGAAAACGGCTGCCCGGCTTCCACATTGCATCATTGCTGAACGTCATCAATTTGAACATTCATTATGCTTTTATCGTATTTTATTGATTGAAATGTTTTGGTTCACCCTGTATAAATAAATATTGAAATAATTATACCGTTGAATAGAGATTGGTAGACTTTCTGAATGAGGTGCCACATGATCCCTATTTGAATAAAAAAAAAATGCCGATTATGTCATCACGCCAACACCGGTGAAGAAACGTCTCGCATAGGTATATCCTGAAAAGGACCATCAAAAATTAAAGTTGACTTGTTTTTCATTGTCTTCCAAAAGACGCCTATTTTTATTATATCGAATTTATTCCATAGATTTGCATCATGTTTATGATTTGCCACTTTCTTGAGTGCTATGTCCGATTATTAACTTATGTATCTATGTATATAATATGGTGAATATTCCGGAGAGGTGCATTATGACATGCTCATGGTTGCCCCTTTCCTCCCATGCAGACCTACGATTTTGTAGGTACGTGTGGCAAATAACCAACAGAAAAACAACAACTAACTCAGCTAATGCCGCGCAGAGAGTTGAAGAAAAACCATCAGTATGGGTTACAAGCCTGCGATAATTCTGAAATTTTTATTCATTGTAGTTGCATGAAAATGGCAGCCTGAAGTGTCATATAATATATTCTTTTATTTAATATCAATTTTGCATTACTACAAGTAGTGGGAAAATATAATTTTATCAAATTCAATGTGCTTTGCAGTTTCGGTACTGCAGGCCATGTAACGACTCCTAAGCCTGCCCTTTAACATAACTACCTTTTAAGATAACTACTCATTGTAGTTACACAGTAATGCAGTTATAATGAAATATATTACATTCTTTGATTTTTTATTTACTTCGATATATTACAAGTGATATTAAATGAAAAAAATAGAAGTTTTATAGATACATTCCTACACGAACAGATTACATAATAATATTAAGGGCTCTTAGCTTATAAACTGATTGTAGTAGCTCAAAAATGCCATTTAGGGACGAGAAAAATAATATTCTTTCAATTTATAGTTACTACAAGATTCACAGCGCAACATAGCTTTGGCAGCAATTATTTAGGCCTTCAAACTGGTAATTTCTACTCATTGTAGTTGCATGGGAACAACACCATTTCAAGATAGAAAATAGTATATTCTTCAATTTTGCATAATTTTTGAGTAAGTACTAGTGGTAGAAAATTGTTTTTTTTGCGTTTTTATCAATGTTGGATATGTGCGCTTTAATGGTATGGAATTCATAAACAGCGTCAGCAAGCATCAATCATAGGAGGCTGTGATCATTGTATTTTGACAGTTCAAAANTAGTGTCTAAAAATATAAATAAATATAGGATGTTCCATGAGAAGTACTATAACTTTGGTATGTAACTAATTTTGGAATATGCTCTTCATGGACCCACATATAACTGTGCTAAAATGTTTTCCCTAAATCTCTTCATTTATTGTAGAAATACCGAGGCGAATGTGGTGGGCCACCCTGTATATAAATATTTTACTGGACATGGACACTTGCTTGAAAACATTTAAAGTCCTGCGTTTTTGCCATTGAGAAGAGAGGAGATGTCCGAAGAATATAAAAAACATCTTAGCTTTGTAATTGAAATGTATCAAAACTAAATATTATGTGAACAAATAAAAACCAATCTGTCAAAAATGGTCTGTTATTTCAATGATGTCATTGTATATAATCATGAGAGGAAAAACGGAAATATTTTCATGAAATGCTCCTCAAAAAAATACATACGTATTTGATATTTATACTTCATTTAGGCAATCGAATGTTTATTGGAAATGTGACGACAAAAATATATTAATATGGAATCCTATGCGGAAATGAGTTGGTACGGTGGAATATCTCAAGCGGGAGAATGATGAATGTCAATTTTTATTTCTGTAGAGATGTGTTGGCACGTTTCACGAGTTTTCAATCGATTGCTCATTTGACAACACTCGTCTTTTGATGATTCGATTCGCATGAGTTATGAAACTGATTAAAATGAGCAGACAGGCAGTTGAAAAAATCGTGGCAGACAAAACAGAGATTGATTCTGGGGAGTAGGGAGATTCTTTTATCGCTGTAACCCTCCTTATACAGGGTGATTCACGGTAGATGGCACATTGGACGGTTTTGGCGAATCAGACACATATTCGGACATTCTCTGCCCAACTTAAATATTTTCGATAATGCGGTGATGCCATTAGAGAATAGTGACAACCGATTTTTCAAACGAAACACCCTATATATAATATTATTTTTGGAATCTACCACAATTACCCGACAACTTTTCTCGAAATTTTCCTATACTCACTGTTACCGTTTTCGAAATATGAATTAATTTCAATTTTTTTCTTCGGAAGTCATGGCCTCTCTGAGTTAAGGAATACTGTGATATTGAAATTTGGTTTGAAGTTAGGTTATATTTGAAGGCTTTCCACACCGCAGCGTTATCTTCGTTACTTCAATACAGGGTGGTACAGTTTTTTCGTTTGCTTGAGAAAGCGTGGCCTCTTTGTGGTGACTTTGTTGCAAGCGACACAGAAAATGAGTATTTGCGAAAGGGAAGCGGCATTGGATGCATTTCTAAGTGAACTTATAATGTTTTTTAAAGGAGAGAGTATATTCAATGATATTAATGATTCAGGAGTTTGGGAGATGTTAGCAGTTTTGTGCGCGACATATAAGTGGAAATAGGACCAATCTTCGTGAATAGGCGGTACTTGAGTTACTGGAAGATCAAAGATTATTTCCCTTCTCTTGTGGGTTATTCGGTACAACAGTTATTAGAAGCCAATCAGCAAACGATGATTATTGCAACAACAAGCATTCCACCTGCTCGCACGAGGTATATTCAAACCACGTTATATGCAAAACCGAATGACTGGATGCGCTGCAAGAATGATACGTTTGGCCCAATGAAGATTCATTTTGCATACATAGTAATAGATATTACAGGAATATTTCATGAATATACTGTATTGTATTATGCTATGAATATATGGCTCCGTGCATTTGTATTTATTTCTTCTGGTAACCAAGTGTTGCCCATCCTTACACTTGGCTGCACCATACTGATGATGGGCCAAAAGCCCGAAACACGTGTCTATGGTTTGCCACTTCCTTGAGTGCTATGTCCGATTTAAAAACTTCTTTATCTATATCAAGACACTCGATAACCTTCGTATTTATATTATTTCCTGGACCCGGATGTCACACGAATTTATTTAAGCCAAAATTCTTCTCCCGATTGTACTTCCTAATAAAAGTTGGTAGTGGACAATTACCATCTCTCTTCATCGTTCGCGCATCTCAGAGGCACAGCTACAGTTTTACCACTGACAATAAATTGCTGCATGTCTTTCGTTTACGCATGAATCACCAGCTGCCCTATTTTGTATATATAATCAAACTGTGACGAAAATCAAACAGAAAACTAACTTCTTGAATGAATGAAACATTTCAATAACTTGTTTATTAATTACTTCTTGTGCGACATAATGACCTTTTATTTAACACTACAAACAATTACGAAGAAGCAGTCGCACGCATTGGTAAAAGCACTGCTGCAATTAAACACAATTATTATTCTGTAATAATAATGAATAGCCAGCTACACATGTCTTACTAAATGTAAGCATCTGCGATCATTCGTTGTTGAACATAACTGTACGTTATGAAAAACAATTACAATCTTGACATATTTCATGTTATGAATCCATTTGTTTCAAAAATGCAACAGTTATCTATTTCTGAAGTAATCTTGAAACATAATAGTGGCAATCACTAAAACAACACTTATTTCATCAACTGCATTTATTGAGAGCGTTTATCAATAAAATGTGCCGCTGATTAAGTCCAGAGACGGTATGGTTAGTGATTTTCTAATCCTGCATTCAAGCGTAGAACTAGTTTTCTGGTTTTCATTGCCAGTAAAAATATTTATTTTCTATAACTTATGTTTATATTTTAAATGAATGGGAAAGACTTTCAACAATGTTATTATAGAACCCATGTACTAAGAATTGTACATTAAAAGCTGAGATCTTGTTAATCCTTTGCAGGAACAAGTTTTGACTTCCGAGGGTTGTCGACAGCTGGTTAACAAAAAACAGAATTTCTCAAACAGTATTCAAGAAACACTTTATTGTGAGATTTTCACTAAACATTTTTATAAAATCGCAACACGTGTTTCGCAACTATACACGCCTGTTGCGTTTTTGTAAAACTGTTTAGTGAATATCTCACAATATAGTGTTTCTTGAATACCTTATGTATCAATAAGTGTCAATGAGTTTATTTTGAAATTTAAAAAAGCAAAAAAGCTCAACGCATTGGTATCTAAAACTTTCAAACCAAACATTTTTTGATAACTTCACCTAAATGTATAATAGAAGATCCAGATGATACACACTGTATATTAGTATCTTCAGATTCATTCGCAATTAGGAAACAACTG